GCCCGAGGTTTCGAACTCGATACTTTTCAGTTTAGCAACCATGAGCTTTACCGACTCGACCACGCCGACCCTTAATTTTACAATTAAAAACCCAGGATAATAATAATTATAATAATAATAAAAGTAAACAACAACAAAACCATTGTCAAAGTTGTACAAATGATGTATATTTAATGACACCCAACTCAACTCTGCAAGCATGTGATAAATTGATGAAATAAGACACATGACCATACAACACAAGAGCACATCAAATAGAACATGTTTACAGTAACAACTTGCCTCCATCAAAATAAATCACACAGCAATCAAATATAAATGTACTCATAAAATCTAAAATATTCTTCAAATACTACAAATATCATCAAATCTAAAATATTCTTCAAATACTACAATATCATCAAATCTAAAATATTCTGTGTTGACAATATCGACTAGGTAAGAACTAAGGAGGAACCAGTTATTTAAAAATAAAAAATCAGCAGCAGTGTTGATCACTGAGTGATACAGAACTGTGGCCAAACTCAATTACAACATAAATCAGGAGACAGTAGGTTTTCTAATTGAACAATGTTTACACTAATCACAATTTAAAGTGCAAAGAGAATCTGTTCTTCTAGAAGCTGTTTATGTTTTCTGAATAGAACAATCTTTGCATAATATAACTTGTTAGGTGAATCTCTTCTTCTTGTAGTTGTATATGTTTTCTATATAGAATGTTTATTAGTAGAACTTTTTCATCACCTGGATGATTCTGTTCTTGAAACAGAGGTCCAGGCCCATAGTTAACTTTTATTTATTACATTAAAACAAAACTCATAAAAAATTCCAGGTATTATCAGTTATGTATAGTTAAAACAGGGAGAGCACTGCTTGCAATACATTGGTGAGGTCATTACGCAAGCCAGTAGGGGGCTGGGATTTGTAGGAAGAGAGTTATGAGCAAAGTATATTTGACTATTTTTACGAAGCTCGGAATAGCAATTAAATATTATGTGTGCACAATTTCTATCCCACTACTAAGAAAATGAAATTTTGTTCACTTGAGAACATCTAACCAATATAGTATAAAGAAACATTGAAAGTTTTTGAAAGAAGCAAACAGGAATGACTATTTTTACGAAGCTCTGAATAGCAGTTAAATATGATGTGTGCACAATTTCTATCCCACTACTAAGAAAATGAAATTTTGTTCACTTGAGAACATCTAACCTTGTAAGTTTTTGAAAGAAGAAGAAGCAAACCGGAATGACTTTTTCTTCCTTACAATGCCAGCTGCCATCCCTCCGAAATCCTCTAACACCTATATTATATAAAGCAGTAAGATTCAAGAAGGTTACAGTTTCCTTGATTTGAAAATAAAAGCCCAGTGCTATAGGCATGCCTGGAGCACCAGTCAGGGGAGGGCATCAAGACAGCTGACCAGTGAACTAGATCAAACTTAGGATGGAAGTGTTTCCATAGTAACGGTTAGATATTGCCACAAGCTAAAATTAGTTAAGTAGGCAAAGTCAACTTTAAAACCAGAGTTAAAAGACACAAATATTTACCAACATATTTATATTAAAACAGAAGTGACTGATACACAATTGAAACTAAAATCTTTATGACACAGCTGGGGTTGGCTGTCTTGAGGCCTGCCTGGCTAAAGGGAGACACCTCCTGAGCCCATCATGCCCATAAAGAAATCATAAAACTTATTAATTCAAACCAGTATTTACTTATAAAATAATGTGAACTGTATTGTTGATTGTATGCGACTTGATTAAATAACTCAATGGCTTGATTATATGATAGAGACGATGAAAAATTTGACAGCTGATCATAAAAATTATAATTTCTTTAAAATAAAATATTAATAATGCCTTTAAGGAAAAAAACTGAAAAACGTTACATTAAGGTTTACAAAAATAATTAAGAAATTTGAGACTACCATTAATGAGGACAATTGGTAATAAATAGTGCAGCTATAAAATGCATTATCAAAAATCATTAACTAAAATTAATCACCACAAGAGGTGAGACACAAAAAAAAACAACTTGTGTTCAACCAATTATACAGCTCTGGAACTTGATTGTAAAAAATTCCTGTTACTTGTGAAGGCAGGTAAAATTCAGTATGCAAATCTTTCCCAACCTCGTTTTCTTAATTTAAAAAAAAATTAAAGCTAGTTGCAAACATAAAAACATATTTTAAAGAAATACTGAATATTTAAAAAGCAAATGACTAACCACTCCTTCTAAAAAGCAACCATTTTAAATTTTTTTTAAATTATTAGCCTTAAGCTATAGGTTAATGTGTTCTTTGAATACAAAATATCAAACAAAATATAAAGCGGACAATATTATGTTAAAAAATAAATATTACCTAGATAAAGCAATAGCATGGTTTAAAAAAAATAAAGTTAAAGCTAGAAAAGTTATTTGAGTAGATTTACAACAACCACACTTTAAATTAAACGTTTATCAAAAAGTAAATTTATGATAATACAAATTTAGCATACATCATGTCTACATATTAAAAAGTGTATTTAAAAAAATAATTGACAAATATTTAAACAAAGAAGGTAGGCAAACAAATGCAGCAGTCAATTAAAAATCTGGATCAGGTCTTAGTTGACAAAACAAATATTAAGCTAGAGCTTATTAAGGAAGGTATGCAAACAAACAAAGCAGTAACTTAAAAACCTGGATCAGTTTTAGTCAGGAAGGAAAACAATAAGTATAGAATATTTCACTGGAAGTTTAATGTTTGTAAATATTTTGTACTGCCTGGATAGGGTTAAGCTACAGCTACAACATGGCCCTACTGAGTTAATTTTGTCTCTACAATACTTCATGTGAAGTATCATGATTATGGTGATCAATAAATCTGATTTTAAAAAGTAAAATTACTCAGCGCTATATTTCTTTTTTTTAAATTTGATTACAGTGAACAAGTTGTGGGCCTTGATTCTAAAAACTCACCAAACAATGAAAAGTAAGATGGGTAAGAGTGTAAGAATAAAAGGATCACTGCTGTTGTATAACATTTAGACAAACAAATAGTGAAATAAAACTAAAGTACAGAAATTATATTTTTTTGTATAATTTAAGCTTTTTAGAATTGAAGAATACATGAATCATCAACAGTACTTTAAAAATGCCTTTATCTAATGGCATAAAAATTATAGAATCAACAGAATTAATTATTTAAAGAAATTTTTAACACAGCAAGTTAGCTACAGTAAACATCATCTACACATTAGTGAGTGATGGATTTAGAATTTGATGGTCAAGTTAATTGTAAGATTATGCAGAGTAGGGAATGATAAGTGACATAAGGGTTTGGGTTCAAGTCTGAATTGCACTCAGATTTTTATTAAAGGACTTAAAATATCCATTAAGTTGTCTAGCCAAAAAAAAAAAATTAAAGCAAAGAATCAAGAGAGGTAAGTTTATATAAATAGCAAAGTAAATGGAGCTATGCCTTTATTATAGAAAAAAAAATTAAATATTTTTGAAAAACACGTTAAAATTAAAATATTTTTTCCAGAAATTCTGTTTACTATCTATATTTTTATACCTATTTTATCACATTACTTACCAAGCTAAAAAGAACAACAGGGTCATTTGATTGTGGAAATACGTGCATACCATCACATGAACAAATTGATCACTTTAAAATCTAATACAAATCCCGAGGTAAAATAAAAATATGTGAGACTTATTACTCTTTTATTTGTATAACAAAGTAAGAAGTCCCCTAAATTAAAAAAAAAACATATTTTAAACAATAAGTAGAAGTTTTTTAATATTTCAAATAAGTATGATAAGTAATTGCCAAAACGGAAGTGTATTGAACTTAGCAATTGGCTTGACGTAAATCAACTTAAATCCTATAAGTTTTCAAATGATTAAAAAGTTGGAGATGATATAAAAAAAAGTAAATTCATGAAATAAATAAAATGATAATCTCATACCCTGCGTGATAAAGAAAACATTAGATAATGAGACATGCAGATGAAACGAAGCAATACTGTGTGTTCAAAAGCTAAGTAATGAGACAAGAAACAGATAGAGGTTAGATCACTGGCAATACTGGGTCTTTAAATAACAGCTAAGTAACGAGACGCACAAGAGAAGCAAATGAGCATAGACTTAACAATACTGTTCTGAAGGAGAATAAAATCTCTTACCACTAGATAGTTATTGGTGCATATGACATTATAAGGGGGAAATATACAAATGAATGATTATTCTGTCAATGTTGTAATACTTTGGTTAAGTATATTATTGAACATACATTTTCTAGTCGCGAATAAATTACAGTCTAATGCACTAAAAAAATAAATGAAAAATCCCAGACTTACAGTAATTAAGTATATTGATCCAGACTAATATAAAATGTAAGGCACTAATTGGTGTAATAGAGACAGAGATATTAACATTTTTATGTTTGAGTGCTATCTTATATTTCCATTGAAAATTCGTTTTTTGTTTTTCACAATTTTAACTGGAAATGATTTTGAATAAAAGATAAAATCACTAAAGCATTTTCCAAAAAAAAAACAGTTAAAAAAAAAAAGACATAATAATTTTAAGGTAAAACATAACAGTATGAGAAATAATCAAACTTCATGACAGAAACAAACCTTTAGGAGCAGGTTGGAAGTATTAAAAGCAGTAATAAAAATACAACAAAAGACTAGGAGATATAACTTAGTATCCTTATCACAGAGAACCTTAGCAATGCAGCAGAATCATCACGTAATTCAGTTTTGATTGGTTGATGAATTAATTAATTAGCAGAGTGATGCTTGATTGAAAATAAGGGGTAAAAATTGTTAATAAAAATAAAACTTATCACAACTAGAAAATAAGAGAACTAATTTCCTCTGTTTAGAAAGAAAATTAAAATATTTAAAGCGATCAGTTAGAAGTTTTAACTTTATGCAAAATTCTTAAAAAAATATTCAGGAAATTATTTTTTTTTTCTTTCTTTAAAATGAAGGAGCACAATGACAAAAATTAAATATCTAGTTTTAAAATAACTTCCTAGATATTCACCATATAAATATATATATAATATGTTAAATTAAGCTGAAAACTCCTTATTAATATCTCTGAAAAATTCAATCTTCACCAATTTTAGCCTAGTGATGAAAACTATTTTTCTTTAGCTTAATTGAGTCATGTAAATTTTGTCTTGAATACATATTTGCTGGGATAGTGAAAATAAATTAAGTGATTACAAGCAGGTGTTTTTAAAATCTATCATGTGCAGCAGAAATTCTTTCACCCGATTCCACAGGATTAAAAACATTAGAATAAAACAAAAAAAAAACAAATTGGTCGTGGTATAAAAATATAAAAACAGAAGAATAAATAAATAATTTAACTGAGCTTGATAAAATCAGCAGCTTTTTCAGCTATCATAAAAGTTGGAATGTTGGTGCCCCCGGTTGTGATGAATGGAATAATTGAAGAGTCTACTACTCGAAGATTTTTTATACCCTTTACTCTGAAATTACAAGAATGGATGTTGCCATTTGATATAAGAGCGTAACACAATAACTATATTTACATTCATATGTATACCTACAATTAAAAAATTTGTAAAAACAATTTGTTTTTTTTCACAATAAGTAAAATGCTCAACAAAAACAACTATCAGAAAACAAGCAAATTCAGCACTCTTTTACTTATACTTTTAATCACACTATTTATCTGTGATCGAAGTCTCCAGATTAGTTACAAGCCAGGTAGTTATGTGTCTAGCACAGAACTAATGAGTGTCCAGATTGACCAGCCCAGCCCTAATGAATTACTGACTGTGAAACATGGCTGGTCATAGTACCTCTCAGGATAGAATTTATATCCTCTACTATCATTTTCGGCAATAAATTATAAGCATATATATTACGGCTACAGGACATTACCCCCCCCCCCCCCCGGAGCAATTACCCCCCTGTCAATTGTCCCCCGGGAATTACCCCCCCCCCCCCCCCCAAGTTAGAATCCTAACTCTAACTAGAATTCTATACCTATATACTACTTTAATCCTAACCTTAAGAAAAAGACCAAAACCTAAAGCATCCACCTTAGCTTAAAACTTCACACAAAACCAAAACCAATGCTAGACATTGGTTTAAGCCTAACCCTAACCCTAGCCCTAAACCTGTTTGGGGATGTGGGGGGGGGGGGGGGGGGGGTTGTGATGTCCTACTGGGCGGGGGGGGGGGGGGGAGGGAGTAATTGACAGGGGGGTGATTATTACAGGGGGTAATGTCAGGGGGAGGGGGTAATTGACAGGGGGGGATGCCCTGTTCCCATATATGACTCATTATCCCAGGCCAGCATATCATGTGACTCACCTTAGTGTCAACAACAGTTGAGTTGTCCCCCACCCATTTAGATTATAACCAGATTTATGGCCCATATCCCACATCTTAATGTGTCTCACAGCATCAACAACAGTTGTGTTGTCCCCCACACATTCAGATATAACCAGATATATGGTCCACATCCCACATTTTAATGTGTGTCTCACCTTAGCTTAGGGTCAACAACAGTTGTGTTGTCCCCCACACATTCAGATATAACCAGATATATGGTCCACATCCCACATTTTAATGTGTGTCTCACCTTAGCTTAGGGTCAACAACAGTTGTGTTGTCCCCCACACATTCAGATATAACCAGATATATGGTCCACATCCCACATTTTAATGTGTGTCTCACCTTAGCTTAGGGTCAACAACAGTTGTGTTGTCCCCCACACATTCAGATATAACCAGATATATGGTCCACATCCCACATTTTAATGTGTGTCTCACCTTAGCTTAGGGTCAACAACAGTTGTGTTGTCCCCCACACATTCAGATATAACCAGATATATGGTCCACATCCCACATTTTAATGTGTGTCTCACCTTAGCTTAGGGTCAACAACAGTTGTGTTGTCCCCCACACATTCAGATATAACCAGATATATGGTCCACATCCCACATTTTAATGTGTGTCTCACCTTAGCTTAGGGTCAACAACAGTTGTGTTGTCCCCCACACATTCAGATATAACCAGATATATGGTCCACATCCCACATTTTAATGTGTGTCTCACCTTAGCTTAGGGTCAACAACAGTTGTGTTGTCCCCCACACATTCAGATATAACCAGATATATGGTCCACATCCCACATTTTAATGTGTGTCTCACCTTAGCTTAGGGTCAACAACAGTTGTGTTGTCCCCCACACATTCAGATATAACCAGATATATGGTCCACATCCCACATTTTAATGTGTGTCTCACCTTAGCTTAGGGTCAACAACAGTTGTGTTGTCCCCCACACATTCAGATATAACCAGATATATGGTCCACATCCCACATTTTAATGTGTGTCTCACCTTAGCTTAGGGTCAACAACAGTTGTGTTGTCCCCCACACATTCAGATATAACCAGATATATGGTCCACATCCCACATTTTAATGTGTGTCTCACCTTAGCTTAGGGTCAACAACAGTTGTGTTGTCCCCCACACATTCAGATATAACCAGATATATGGTCCACATCCCACATTTTAATGTGTGTCTCACCTTAGCTTAGGGTCAACAACAGTTGTGTTGTCCCCCACACATTCAGATATAACCAGATATATGGTCCACATCCCACATTTTAATGTGTGTCTCACCTTAGCTTAGGGTCAACAACAGTTGTGTTGTCCCCCACACATTCAGATATAACCAGATATATGGTCCACATCCCACATTTTAATGTGTGTCTCACCTTAGCTTAGGGTCAACAACAGTTGTGTTGTCCCCCACACATTCAGATATAACCAGATATATGGTCCACATCCCACATTTTAATGTGTGTCTCACCTTAGCTTAGGGTCAACAACAGTTGTGTTGTCCCCCACACATTCAGATATAACCAGATATATGGTCCACATCCCACATTTTAATGTGTGTCTCACCTTAGCTTAGGGTCAACAACAGTTGTGTTGTCCCCCACACATTCAGATATAACCAGATATATGGTCCACATCCCACATTTTAATGTGTGTCTCACCTTAGCTTAGGGTCAACAACAGTTGTGTTGTCCCCCACACATTCAGATATAACCAGATATATGGTCCACATCCCACATTTTAATGTGTGTCTCACCTTAGCTTAGGGTCAACAACAGTTGTGTTGTCCCCCACACATTCAGATATAACCAGATATATGGTCCACATCCCACATTTTAATGTGTGTCTCACCTTAGCTTAGGGTCAACAACAGTTGTGTTGTCCCCCACACATTCAGATATAACCAGATATATGGTCCACATCCCACATTTTAATGTGTGTCTCACCTTAGCTTAGGGTCAACAACAGTTGTGTTGTCCCCCACACATTCAGATATAACCAGATATATGGTCCACATCCCACATTTTAATGTGTGTCTCACCTTAGCTTAGGGTCAACAACAGTTGTGTTGTCCCCCACACATTCAGATATAACCAGATATATGGTCCACATCCCACATTTTAATGTGTGTCTCACCTTAGCTTAGGGTCAACAACAGTTGTGTTGTCCCCCACACATTCAGATATAACCAGATATATGGTCCACATCCCACATTTTAATGTGTGTCTCACCTTAGCTTAGGGTCAACAACAGTTGTGTTGTCCCCCACACATTCAGATATAACCAGATATATGGTCCACATCCCACATTTTAATGTGTGTCTCACCTTAGCTTAGGGTCAACAACAGTTGTGTTGTCCCCCACACATTCAGATATAACCAGATATATGGTCCACATCCCACATTTTAATGTGTGTCTCACCTTAGCTTAGGGTCAACAACAGTTGTGTTGTCCCCCACACATTCAGATATAACCAGATATATGGTCCACATCCCACATTTTAATGTGTGTCTCACCTTAGCTTAGGGTCAACAACAGTTGTGTTGTCCCCCACACATTCAGATATAACCAGATATATGGTCCACATCCCACATTTTAATGTGTGTCTCACCTTAGCTTAGGGTCAACAACAGTTGTGTTGTCCAGCACGTCCCCCATCCTACAGGTTCCCACTGGTCCAAACGCTGGCTGACCCCTGGCACGTATCAAACAGCGCCAGTAGTCATCACTGTCCATCACAAACTGACCACACAAGGCAGATGGTCCATCCGCGTATACAGCATCCAACTGTTTCATTGATGGCATACCCAAAAGCTTCTTACAAAACTTTATACCTGTAAAAGATAATATACTTTACACATACGGATTAACCTAAATTGCATACAAAAACATTAGGACTCTAAAAGAATATATATAATTTACACTTTAATGTATACAACTTTAATTTGGGATATTTGCTCTGTTTAGAAATAATTAAGAGAACTTAATGGCAGCAGAAGAAAAAAACCTATCACAACAGAAATATTAGCTTAAACTATATCAGAAACTTGCAATATGTTATCTCTATGCATAAGAATTATCTCTAGGTCATCAGTGTTCATTTAAGCTCATTTTGGGTTCATAAATAGCCCTCCAAAGCATTAGGTTATTGTTATATCTTGTTATTGTTACGTCCCTTGTATTATATATTTCATAGTTATGTCCCTTGAATGTGTTCTGATTACACTAATTGTTTATTTAGTGTGAGAGAGATCTGATGGTTACAAGTAGTGAGAGACTGATCTCTAAATGTGTAATAAAGTGTTTGAGTAAACTTGATAAAGTCTACTGTTCTAGTAACAGTTTGAATAATCCTAATATATAAAACCCCATGTTCGCACATCTCTCTCTCTCTCTCTCTGTCTGTCCACAAAATATTTTTGCCGGACATCACGTCAGAATCGGCAGCGATATATGAAGAACTTTTTACGGACTTTTGTTGAAAATAATATGTTAGATGTTTTAAATGTATAACCACAATTTTATTTAAAGAAGAAAAATAAAGGCATATTCGAAAATAGAGAAACAGTATTATTTATGCAACCGGAAAAGTGTATAAACTTGGGACAAAAACACATTTAACAATGACGTCGCTTATTGTTTACACTAAAACAAGAGCACGAAACTGATGACGTCATCTTGTCATCTTCCAAGTTTAGAATTTTAAAAAATGAACTTTTTCATTCAAATATGGTTTAGAGCTATGTATGCTATGAAATGTATACAATACAATTTTCTCGGCCTAAACATAAAAAAAATTATTTTATCTATTTGGATTCTAGATCTAGAGGTTCTAGATCTAGATATTGATCTAGATCTAGATGTTCTAGATCATCTAGATCTAGAGATTCTAGATCTAGATGATCTATAAAGCTAAGTTCAAATTTGGCAGGATCTTGCCTTGGGGCGACAGAACACGGGGGCCGGTTGGCCGAAAAGTCTACGATGAGGGGGTCAAAACTGACCTCAATTGACCGGCGCCTTATATGGGCGAATTAATTAAGCATTCAAATTCTCAATGTTTTCGAAAGCCTAAGCGAAGCTGGGCAGCATGCCTAGTATAACATAGATCATGTGAATGATCAAATGATATATATAACATAGTTAATTTGTTAATTGCAGCAATTCTTATAACAATTTCCCAGTTAATTTAATATTGAATAAGATCTAGGTTGAAAATTAAATTTTATTGTGTTATCATTTGCAATGTTTGAAAGAGACCACATCAAAAGAAATGGATCTAAAGTTAGATTTGACCACAAACCTACACACAAACTCACCAAACCACAATCTAACATTAAAAAAAAACTAAAAGAACAACCTGACAAAATGACTTCCACGTCATCATCTTTTTCCAGGTAGTTTGGATCAATGAGGGGCTGGCTCCTAGGGCTGGAGTTCTCCAGTCTGATGGTGCCTCTGCTGTGTGGTCTCAGCACTGTGCTGTAACACGCCATCCCATTGGTGTATTTTGTTCGTGATGCCAGCTCAGACAGGGTCTAAACGATTGGTTCAAAAACATCAGCTCCCAGAAAAATGCTCAGTAGAAAACTACGCATATACCAGCTAATTATACTAATACCTTTAATTTTGTCATATTTCGTGGAAAATAGTCATTCTTTTTTAATGTCTATAAATTCTCAATTTTTATTTTTGAAAACAAAAATGCCATTGCACACCATTTTGTGCATTGTTTTTAATTGCGCATTGTTATGGTCACCAAAATATCTGGCACTTACAATCGTTAAGTTATGGATTCAAACAGTCTACAACTCAAATTTTTTAAATACTTATAAATTAGTTTAAAAAATTGTTGGTAAGAAAATGCGTAGTATTTTTTTTTTTCATTTCAGCTGCTTTTGCAATTTGGGTTAAAAACCTATCTTAAATATAATCTGCAACATTCACACGGGTAGAAAAACTAACTAGGGTAGCGTAGAACACCCTACCAAACCATCTATTATCAAAAACCTAGCTTAAATATAATATGCCAGCATTCTTACAGGTAGAAAAACTAACTAAGTTAGCGTAGAACACCCTACCAAATCATCCATTATCAAAAACCTAGCTTAAATATAATCTGTGAGCAGTCTTACAGGTAGAAAAACAGTTAAATCAAATAATTGGGCTTTTTAAAAAAAGTAATTTACATATACTTATTAATATATATTACCCGAAAATTAAAAATAACAAACAAGCTACAAAAACATAATGCAGAAAAATGTAAATACTTGGCATATTACTAACTTCATTAGAAAACCCAATAGTCTTTCCATAATTTGTAGAGAGTAGCATCCCTTTAAACACAACTTGTAAATCAGGCCATGATATGTCCTTGTTTCTCTCTGTGTTTGTGTAGGCAATAACTTCAATCCCATTGGGTGAGGCCAGCATACCTGAAAATTAACAGGTACTTTTGTATTCTATTCGGCCAGATGTTTAACATATAGAAATTAGATACAAGAAGTATTGTTTTTTATTCCATTGCCATGAGGCATGTGTGTGTGTTAGAAATGAATGATGAGCCCACTATCGAAAACTGGTAAGTGAATTTTAATTTTTAAAATTCAAGTTATTCTTACAGATTGATTTATTGACAACCACATTGTTATACTAATTTTTATTCTGAAAAATATAGTTTAAAATAAAATCTTTTAACATAAAAAAAAAAAAATAAATAAAATAGGTTTAAAATATTTCCTGAAAATCAACCTGACAGTAGGATTTAAAAAAGGACTCCTCAAATTAAATTTTTATTTTCTACGAGTGAGCCCAATGTCTAGTAGAAAACACAACATTTTTTTTTTAAAAGTGCCATTGAGTGATGCTAGTTTGTCTGTAACAAAGAGTAAGTTGACTAGAATCAGGAACAAACTATTCAACAGTTTAAATGCCATGATTTTTTCCTCAAAAGTCTTTTATGCATTTTTTTCAGTACGTTAAATTTTAATACAATAAAGTTGCATGACTAAAAACAATTGCGCAATAAATAAACAGGAAAAATGTGTGTATAATTAAGTGGTAAATTGTACTTTAGGTAGGAAATTTTAATTAATTCTTTAGAAATTAATTAAACATCCAATTAAGTGACATCAAATTTGATGTCAGATTGTTTCATCACAGGGGTTTGACCCATGTGCAAAGTTTCAGATAAATTGGTTGGTTGGAAGTGGTCAAAATTTTGCTTGCAAGTTTTGATCAATGACGACAGAAAAATAGCAAGACAAGCAAGTTACCATAAACGCTTGTAAAAACAGATTCTGTTTTAACAAAATGTTAAATAAAATAAAATAAAACAAAAAGGAAAAAAAACCAGCTCACCTTTACCAACCAGTTTGTACTTGACATTTTCCCAGAAGGACTGGAGCCTCTCCTCTGTGATGCTGATAGGTGCTTTGATGGCCACAGGGAACTCATAAGTAAACCTGTCTTGTAGATTTTCACCCACTGGCAAGTCTGCAATCACTGGAATCTAAAAAATAAGATTTGTTGGTATCACTATAATTGGTCACAAATAAAACAAGAGTATGTCTCACATATAAGTCTTGACAATAGGGATTATGTGGTGGAGTGGTAGAGCATATAAATGGTAAATTCTTCTACTTTCTTCTTCATCCAACACAATTAAGTATATATGTCAACAGGTTATGTTCCAAATATGCCATTTACTCAGATTTCAGCCTGCTTTTCTATTTGGATTTGCTTCCATAGCCTTTATCCAACCAAGAACAAATTACAAGGCAGCAGTTGTTTGATTTTGGAGTTGTCTCTCTTAGAAGAGGTGCTGTCCCCAGCTAACGAGCCTTATCTGCCTGAGGGTTGGAACTCGAGACTTTTCAGTTTAGCAACCATGAGCTTTACCAATTCGACGACGCCGACTCCCTGATTGGTAAATTGAAAGTCACCAGGCTCAGCTATTTGGCTACAGTCCGTAGAATATTTTGAATTAACTAAATTCTTATGGGTGCCTTAAAGTTGGCAGTAAAAAGTACAAATGAGTGGGCATTGAGCTGACCATACAACCACTCTTCAATGATGTGATTGAGGAAACAGATGGGATGATATACTCTACTGGTTGAGTACAAGGGCTACTAGGGTACTAAGTACATTATAGAGTGTGTATGTAACAAAAAGTGAAATGTATAGTGAAATACAAAGTTAAACTCACACTTATAGAAAATTTATATGGTTAAAAACGCTTTTAGATGTGGGTAAACAGACCTTTCTAGAAGACATGCTTAAACACAATTTTAGATGATGTGGTTAAACACACCAATTTAAGAAGCTGTGGTTGAGCAATTTTAAAATTTGTGGTTAAACGCACCAGAAGTTAGTTAAACACTTATTTTTAAAGATGTGGTTAAACAGACATGATGATGTACACTTTACAATCAGTAAGGCCAGACAAACCTTAAGCTTCTCAAGGTGACTCCTGGGCCCCACCCCAGACAAGAGTAAAAGTTTGGCCGAGCCCACAGTCCCAGCGCTCAGAAGAACCTCTTTGTTGGCCTTGACTGTGTGGACTGTTCCATTACGTTCAAACACAACCCCTGATGCTCTGTCTTTGTCAAACAAAATCTGAAAATAGACACATAACTCTACTTCAACTGCACAGGCAGGGCAATATTTCAAATGGACAACACTTTACCTAAACAAATTAATAAGTAACCAGGGATCTCTAAGATAAAGAAAATACCCAGAAAATAGCATCAAATACATAGTTAAACTTAATTTTAAAAATTGCTTTGAAATCATTTCAATACATTTTCATTTACTATTTAGTAGTCTTATTTTGGTGACTTACTTTAGTGACTAGGGACAACTTACTTTAGTGACCTGGGACTTACTCTAGTGACCAGGGACTTACTTTAGTGACGAGGGACTTAGACAGGGAATTACTTTAGTGACAAGGGGCTTACTTTAGTATCAGGGACTTACTATAGTGACCATGGACTTACTTTAGTGACCAGGGACTTACTTTAGTGACAGGGACTTACTTGAGTGATAGGGACTGTCCGGAGAGCCTGGTACGTCGGACTCCCAAGTCCCCTACATGATAGCGAGCCAGGAGATCTGTCCGCACAAGACAGGCGAATCTCCGTTGCTTGCTCTAAATGGCGTGGGGGAGGAGAGGTGCGAGACTGCCGGGAACCAAAAAGGGTCTGCTCGCGATCCTAACCAGATGTCTTGACTTTAAGCTGCGGCCTTCACGTGGCTTCGGACGAGTGCCATTAGTCGGACCAAACTCATGACCCCCCTAGTGAGTGCGGAATGGCTAGTGGTAGCCAACAGCAGCTAGAGGTTTTTGATCTGGCCGAGTAGAACTGCTGTATGCATTAGGCTCTTTCCGAAGAGCTTGGTACGTCGGACTCCCAAGTCCCCTACATAACAGCGTGGGGGAGGAGAGGTGCAAGACTGCCGGGAACCAAAAGAGGCCTGCCATGACCTCAACCAGATATTTTGACTTTATGCTGCGGCCTTAACGGGGCTTTGGAATAATGCCACTAGTCCGACCAAACCCATGTCCCCGTAATGGACGCGGAATGGCCGATGGCAGATAACAGCAGCTAGAGGGTTTTGATCTGGCGGAATGCCCCCCACGATCAAGCTGGGTACCAGGCGGTGGGACGACGTCCCGCGTCTGGTGGGTGGGGAAGGAAAGCCAGGTGAGAGCCCACGGAAGTAGCGACCGAGGTGTGGGAAACTCTCTCGGGGTTTGCCACACTGAGACCTGCCTGGCTAATGGAAGTGAACCTTCTGAGCCAGTTTCCGTATAAGAAAGGAAGTGATAGGGACTTACTTGAGTGAACAGGGACTTACTTGAGTGACCAGTGACTTACTTTAGTGACCAGTGACTTACTTTAGTGACCAGTGACTTACTTTAGTGACCAGGACTTACTTTAGTGACAGGGACTTACTTTAGTGACAGGGACTTACTTTAGTGATGAGGGACTTAGACAGAGACTTACTTTAGTGACAGGGACTTAGACAGGGACTTACTTTAGTGACAGGGACTTACTTTAGTGACAGGGACTTAGAGACTTACTTTAGTGACCAGGGACTTACTTTAGTGAGAGGGACTTACTTTAGTGACCAGGGACTCAGTCAGGACATGGAGGTTGTGCCTGAACAAGACAGGGTATAAGAAAGCTCTGGAAGCGCTTTGACGCACTCCTCTCCTGACCATGGACTGGACTTCAACAAATCCTGAAGATTAAAACAGAATAATTCACTATTACAGTACTTTAAAGATCAGTGTTTAGTGGCCCATATCCCTGCATGGTGTAAAGGCCAGTAAAAAAAAATTCAATATTATAAAACAAAAATGTATTTGAATAAAATAGGTGATTCAAGCAATGAATATAATCATTAAACCAATGCACTAAAAAATAATTCAACTTAAATGTTTTTAATTTTTTTAAACTAGTGTATTACTATTCACAAACGAGATTCTACTGGTTAATTAAAATACCTTCCGATGGTTTCCCATTGATGTCGATAATTTTATAACCCATTTCTCTTCCAGCTCGAACAAGGAAGTTTGTCAGGCTGTGAGTTTTTGATCGACCGACTTTTAAAGGGCCATTCATTTTGTGAAAACCTGGTGATAAAAGTATGTATTATTTAACAGACTTTTTAAAGGGCCATTCATTTTGTGAAAACCTGGTGATAAAAGTATGTATTATTTAACGGACTTTTAAAGGGCCATTCATTTTGTGAAAACCTGGTGATAAAAGTATGTATTATTTAACAGACTTTTTAAAGGGCCATTCATTTTGTGAAAACCTGGTGATAAAAGTATGTATGATTTAACAGACTTTTAAAGGGCCATTCATTTTGTGAAAACCTGGTGATAAAAGTATGTATTATTTAAAAGACTTTTAAAGGGCCATTCATTTTGTGAAAACCTGGTGATAAAAGTATGTATTATTTAACAGACTTTTAAAGGGCCATTCATTTTGTGAAAACCTGATGATAAAAGTATGTATTATTTAACAGACTTTTAAAGGGCCATTCATTTTGTGAAAACCTCGTGATAAGTATTATTTAACAGACTTTTAAAGGGCTATTCATTTTGTGAAAACCTGGTGATAAAAGTATGTATTATTTAACAGACTTTTAAAGGGCCATTCATTTTGTGAAAACCTGATGATAAAAGTATGTATTATTTAACAGACTTTTAAAGGGCTATTCATTTTGTGAAAACCTGATGATAAAAGTATGTATTATTTAACAGACTTTTAAAGGGCCATTCATTTTGTGAAAACCTGGTGATAAAAGTATGTATCATTAAACAAGTTTGTTTTACCTTAATAAATGGTTTACTTTATATAGCAAAAAAACTTTGTGACAGTCTAACAATGATTTTTTAAATTAAAAATAACAATAAAAATGTATATTAATCTATTTCTTAGAAAATGTGTAATGTAAAAGAAAATCTATTTAAAAAAGCAATTTTAATTCCAATGACACTGTTAAATAAAATACCCCTTCATTCAATAAGTGAGTTATTATTCTAAATAAATTCTATTTTTAAAAAAAAAATAGTTGATGCTAATTAAACAACCCAGGACACAATTTTCAGTTACCTGTTTTCACAAAGTCAGCATTCTCATTGTCTTCAGACTTAAGAAAGTACGGCTTTCAGTTACCTGTTTTCACAAAGTCAGCATTCTCATTGTCTTCAGACTTAAGAAAGTACGGCTTTCAGTTACCTGTTTTCACAAAGTCAGCATTCTCATTGTCTTCAGACTTAAGAAAGTACGGCTTTCAGTTACCTGTTTTCACAAAGTCAGCATTCTCATTGTCTTCAGACTTAAGAAAGTACGGCAACACCTGGTCGTACGACCACCCCCTGGCACCAGCAGCTTCCCAGTGGTCGTAGTCACTCTTTAACCCTCTCATGTACATCATCTCATTGATGTTGGAGCTGCCTCCTAGAATTTTACCACGGTGCCACCACCCTCTCTGTTAGACAAGAATGCAAACAGTAAAGGGTTAATGGTGGAACTACCTCCTAAGATTTTTCCACCCTCTCTGTTAGACAAGAGTGTAAACAGTAAAGGGTTAATGGTGGAACTACCTCCTAGGATTTTATCAAGATGCCATCATCCTGTCAGTTAGATAACAAGGCAAATAGGAAAGGGATATGACCAATGATAATACATTATAAATAACAGTGATTTTTTTTGCCCCATGCCTGATACATAGCTGTGTTTTGACAAAGGTACTTACAGATTTTCTCATGTGCTAATTTTAAATTCCAATAAATAATAACTAAATAAAAAAAATTCACTCTATGTCAGGGATCGGCAACCTTTTGAGACGGAAGAGCCAAAAGTTACAATTTATAAAATTTCCCAGTTTTTAAAGAGCCACTAACATTTTTATGTTAATATTTAATATTTGGTATTTGATTAGAATTAGGTGCATAAATTTTAAATAAATAGGTTTAGACCCTTAAGTATGAAATTGTATCTATCTCGCACAAAACATGAAATTATCTTAGCTATCTCTACTTGTATTTAAAAAATTAAATTATATAGCTATGGCGCTATCCCTACCCAATTTAGAAGCTAATAACCAAAAAGCTACGTCACGCAGGTCAAATTTATGAATGCTGACATATAAAGAAATGCAATCTCAATAAAATAACTTTCACAATTGAACGATATTCGAAACAAAGTGTGGACATTGGTAGTGGAAAGCATGGAACCATAGCCACGGGGCTGTCAGCTGTCCATATACTCTACTTCACCTATTCTCATTGGGTTTTTTATTTCGTTAAAAGTTGTTTTAGTGTTTTTACCTTGTTTTACAGTATAAAATTTGTTATGAGTTTTGAAAATGATATGTAGGTTTAATAATTATTATAATTTATGCATGGAACTGAGGAGCTGCATTTTGACATCAGGGGAGCCGCATGCGGCTCGCGAGATGCAAGTTTCCGACACATACTAAAGCAATTTAATCTTGCCCCTTGGTTTCAAGGGATCCAAATTTCCGAAATGAATTGAAAGATAACAGCATAAATTGAGCGGTAGTGTCCCCTCTTGAAAAATTCAGCCGGTCATTAATCTAATGCTTTTATACATAATTTAGAGAAAATTAATTATTCAAAAATCCAATAATTACCACAAATGGACAGAATATTACTTAAGAACGTATTAATAGCTGTGTAAAATATAATAAATAAAACAATCATTTCCATTTATATTGTATTATTACGTTTGTTATCATGCAAAAATTCAGGAAATTTGTTGCTTCCCCTGTTTACTATGAATGGTAAAATGGGAAACAACTAAAACAAATTGTTCTCTTGTTCAGGGGTCGGCAACCTTTGGAAACGGAAGAGCTAAAAGTTAAAATTTTGACAATTTCCCAGTTTTAAAGAGCCACTGACATTTTTATTTCAATATTTTATTATTTGATTAGGATTAGAAAAATAAGTTTGATTTGTTATTTAAAATAAATAGCTTTAAATATGAAATAATATTTATTCTTATAAAAACATACACTTATTTCGCCAGAATAATGAAATTAATAATAAAAAAATAAAAATATAGGACTATCCCAATCCACTATAGAAGCTGTTAATTTTTTATTATTTTTTTTTACGGATAACACCTGCTTGGGAGGTGTCTGCAATTAGCCAGGCAAACTTCAACTAACTAGCTTGGATATCGGTTTGAATAACTTGCATCGTTCGCTTCTGTCTTTTGGTTCTCACAGGGCTTATCTTCCACCCCACAGAGCCCAGGGTAAACTCGCACCCCACCGTCCAGTACTCAGCTCCACGGTAGGAAGCTAACAAAAACTACGCCACTAACATCAAATTAATGATTACTGATGGATAGGGAAATGCATTCTAAGTTACCAGTCCCCATTCAACGATATTCGAAAAAGTCGGCACTTGGGCAGTGGCAAGCATGGAATTATTGTCACAGGGCTGGCTACAGCACGGTTGTGGGGCTGGGCCTGGTGCCCAAGCGGCTGTCAGCTGTCTACTCTCTACACCACGTATTCTCATTGTTCTCTGATGAGTGTTTTTATCCTGTTTAAAGTTGTGTATCTTTACAGTATAATTTTGTTAAGAGTTTTGAAAATGAAATAACATATCTATTAATATTTGTGCAAGGAGCTAGAGAGCCGCATCATGACACCAAAAGAACCGACCCCTGCTCTAGGTTTTATATTTGAAATTTCAGTAATCAAGTTTTTTAGTTGAAAACTCTCCTCAAAGACAAAATAGAATTTCCATTTTGAGTGACAATAATTTACACAATGATAAAGAAAACTGTAAAACTACATAAGTAAAAGTAAAAAAGTTTCCCTTTCAAACCTGACGGACTATAGGCCAAATGAAGTAGAGTTCACTTGTTTCTGTGACCTTGGCATCTGAAGAGATAGTGTGGTCAGCACTATGACCAGCCGCCTTCACTTTCCCTAACGTGAGTTAGGTACCCATCAGAGTTGGGTGCACTCAGGGACAAAACTACATTTGTATATTCTTGTAAAATGTATGTATACCTATGATTGTAAAATATTTACTCTATTTTTTTTCATTATATTATAATTAACATGGATATCAGAACTGACCTGATCCTTGAAAGCTTTGAGTGCATACTTCTGGGGAACAGTGTAGTAGTCCCAGTCAATGTCTGAATGAGCTGAATCCATGGCCCGAGCTGGGATGGACACTGTGGGATGGTCGCGGTCATCCTGTCCAGCTTCAAGTAACAGCACCGTCTTTGTGGTGTCCTCAGACAGCCTGTTGGCCAGCACACAACCAGCGGAGCCTCCGCCAACTGTCGATACAACAAAACAGGTAGTGAGGCAGTTCAATACCAACTGATTTTAAATTTGTGTATGGAGGATGAGTCAAGGTCTCTGAAATACACCTTGAGGAAGAATTGGAAGATTAGTGTAAGGCCAATATACTTATATTGTAATTATATCCTTAGCAGCATGGATTATATAAAAAAAAAACTGTGATAAAAATGACACACCCAAAAGAGTTTTAGTGAAAAAATACTAATTCACTATGAATTCCTTTAAAGCCTGGTCAAGAAGCAATTCCCCAAATAATATTATACCCATGTAACTTGTAACCAGCTCTGATGTGAATATATACCACAGGAACATTAAAGGCAGCTTTACAATCCCTTCAAATAACAAAGTCAGTTAAGTTGATAAATTATACTTTATCTACCATAAGGATCATCAGACCTTAAAAGGTACCTTGCTTGTACTGTTGTATGTTCAAATAAGAATTGTTCAGCTGTTTCAGTTTCTGACAAGGGCAATAAACAACTGCTTTTAATATCTTTGTGGTTATCTTACCTTTCTTTTGCTGCTACTTCGTGTTCAATGACCAGACATTTATGGTGAGAAGCTTTTGTTTCAGTAGATGAATTTACTTAAGGCTTACGTTCACAAGTATGAAAATACTTTAATTACATAAATACACCATTTAAATTGAAAATAAGTTCTAGGAAAGCATTAACAAACAATGCAATTACCTATGATGTAGTCGTATTCTTTCTCAACATTTGTTGCTAAATCTGGAAGCTGGTTGATTTTCTTGTTTATTAATAATCCTATTGCTAAAACTGTGCTGGAGATCAGCATTACATATGACCAGGGACCCATGGAAATCTGGGAAAAGAAAATTAGAGTAGCAATGGTACCTGTTGAATGTGAAGCGCCACGGCAGAGTGGAGAAAAAGCCTGCCAATTCTCAAAGTTAGTGGTTTGGAAATGAACTGCACCTGAATTTTTTTTGTAACCTGAGTTGTGAGAGAACAAAAGTTTTCAACTACACAAGCAGACTGATCATGAATGGTGTGTGTTTTTTTTTCTTTCCTATATTTAAAGAATAATTACCTTACAATAACTTACATTGCTTTAAAATAATGACCAGAAGTGGGCCGGTTTTTTAATTTGCTTGGTTAAGGAGGGAGTGACATCATCTCAAAAAGCAATTTTCATTCTATGACTTATGCTATAGGCTTGATAAACTCTCAGTGACCCCTAAACAATGGAGCTTAAATTTAATGAATACATTTAGTTTAGCCAACTAGCTAGATCAGTTCAGTAGATCTAGATGTAATGAGTCGGGGTCGGCAAGGTCGAGTTGGTAAAGCTGCTGATTTCTTAACCTAAAAGTCTCGAGTTCGAACCCTAGGGCAGATGAGGCTCGTTAGCTGGGGACAGCCACTCTTCTAGGAGAGACAACTCCAAAATCAAACAACTGCTGCCTTGTAGTTTGTTCTTGGTTGGACTAAGGCTATAGAAGCAAATCCAAAAAGAAAAGCAGGCTGAAATCGGAGTCAATGGCCTCAATGGCGCATAACCAGTTGACATGTATACTTAATTGTGTTGGACGGGATCCCTTCCAAAATTAAGAACGAAGAAGAAGTAGTGAGTCTAGAATCTAGATTTAAGATTAGAATTACTAGATCTCTAGAGTCTAGATTCTTAAATCTTAATAAAGGGCCTAATTATTTTGTATTAGACAGACCCCAAGTGAATAAAATAAGTAAGCTATTATAAAAGGAAGTGGCTATTCGTTCCCGGGTTCTTATAGCCATGGCCACTAATCGGAACTGGCATTATGTTCTTTACACACTCGTACAACCTGTATTAAAATAATACCTTTTATGTTTATTTGATTTTTCTTGTGGATTTGCTAGTATTTCGTTGTGCTTTATTGTAATTAGTTATGTGAATTTGCTAGCGTTAGTTCTTGTGTTGCTATTTCTAAATACCCTAGATTCAGCTGTACATACATAATCATTAAATATTTAATAATTATCTTAAGATGTTTTGGCCGCGTTGAGACGCAAGTACCTCCTGAATCTTGATCAGTTACGGGATCGGAACCAATCTAAGCTCTCGTTTTTGCGAGCAGTAAAGTGTATTTAACTAAGTTTAATGTTAAATCTTGATAGCTCAGGTGTTTCATATTTGTCATTTTTTTAAATTGTTTTTTCTTTTCAAATAAATTATATATTTTTTCTAGATTTAGGTTTTTAAACACGCCAATTATAAACATCATTGCTCCATTGATCACTGGCTCACGTTTTCTGGTCAGTTCAAATGTTACATAATATATATTGCTTCTATTAAAGCTTACTACAACGCATGAGAGATATTAGTGTTCAAGAAAACAGGCCCGGGAGCTGTAGACTGTAGCCTATACTATAATGAGCTATTTTATACAATTATTATTAATTTTTTTATTTTGTATTTGGACTGACAGGCCTATGAAATCAAATTATGTTTAAAAGAAGAAAAAGAAAATAAAACACATTTTTTCATGCGCGCTCAACATTCACTCGGCCAGAGAAGTTCATACCATAGGCCATATATATTATAGACCTCATGATTACCGCTCGCCAAAACATTTGTCAGGAATTATGCTGGGTATTTAAAAAGCAAGATCTCAATACTCAATCAGAAAAGAATTAAAGATATAGATAATTCTATTCTGCATCTTAAAAGAATTATTGTATAGGCCGCCTTTAGGCAGTTTGCTCCATGTTACGCTTAATCTTTACCTTAGGTGGCATGCAATCTAAAAAAAACAGATATCAAGACTATCGATTTTTTTTCCCGTGGTAGCAATTTAATGTTGACATAGATCTAGATCTAGTTTAAGTGTATTTATATTATTTCAACACCTAAGAATCTAGATCTAGTCTAGTACTTGTAAAAAAAAGCAGTACAGTACAGTGTCAGTAGTGGGTCAGATGATTGATAGTCCTAGTTCTAGCAGCAATCATGCTAAATCAAACTGTCCTTTAGTAAATTGTTTTAACAGCTATCTAGCATGTGTGATAGTAGATCTCAGTCTATATTATTTATCCTATGTGAACTAAAAAAAAATTAAAAAATTTCAATTTGTTTGAGGGGGGGGGGGGGGGGGGGGGGGGGGAAGAGAGAAGTGAAGACACGGATGATCTCGTGAACTTGTGTTCATTCTATGACACAAGTTTTAGGCGTGCTGAACTCACACTACTCACAGTCTGCAAAAGGCTCACACAAATGTTACACGCCAAGCGCTTGAGTGGAACCCCCAGGGAAAGCGGAAGAGAGGGCGCCCAAGACAGACCTGGAGGCGGAGTCTTCTTGAAGAACTGAAGCCAACAGGGATGTCTTGGGAGATGTCAAAATTAATAGCCGAGGATAGGAAGAAATGGAAGGAAATGGTGGAGGCCCTATGCTCCATAAGGAGCAAAGAGGACTAAGTAAGTAAGTAAGTAAGTGAACTCACAGTGACACCGGCGACCGTGGGCCATGGTGGGATTTTCCACTCACTGGATAGTAAACATAAGCAAGCAATCACGCCATTGACGATGTTTGAAAATTTTATTTTAAAAAAAAAGAATCACACGTCATATTTTCAATATGAAAAAAATAAATGTAAAAAAGACACTAGTACCGGTCATGCTGACCCCAGGTTTGAACTCAGAAATCCGGGTCTAAGAACTACAGTCTACAGCTGGCACACTCAACAACACCGGATGTGTTAGAGAAGGAAACATAAAGCATTTTCAATCACAAGATGGCAAATCCAACCTGCGAGACGCATAGTCACTTCGTATTGTGTAACTCTAGTCTAAATCTTAACAATTTTAGTGGCTGGTCCGAATATTGGACTATTGACTAGTAATAGTAATCGCCAATTACAATAATTGAGTAATAATTATAATAGTCACTATTGAAGGATGATATTGGGACCCGGGTCCAAATAGAATTGAATAGAAATTAGAAATTGAATCAATAGATTTTAGATTTTTAGATGCATCCTTTGAATTAATAATTAATACTAATGGTTTCGCTGTCTGTGTATCTATCTGTGTATCTATCTTTCTATCTATCTGTCAAGAACGCTACAGAGAAAACACAAGCAAATTAAAAACATGCATAAATAAACGAAAAGGAAACATGACGTCGCGTTGGAGCATATAGTAGAAATTAGTCTACAGCCGGAGAGTGCACACAGTAATATGACATCATTGATTCTCAAGTAAACATTGAATTAAAAAGCCAACTTGGTCTAATCTTAAAAGTGGTTTGCGTGAAGAGTTTCTTTCATACAATTCTTCGGGTAGGGGCGAAGCCCATCCCCTGTGTAAGAACAACTAAGCCGACCCCCCCCCCCCAACTAAAAAGAAATGTCTGCATCAATACTCGATAATAAAATTACAGCCTAATTCATGTGTCTAATCTAAAAAGTGGTTTGCATGCAGAGTTTCTTTCATGCAATTCTTCGGGTAGTGGCTAAGCGCGACACCAGTGTTTCTTTCAGACTTTTTCCTCCCCGGAGGGAGGAACTTTTTCTAATCTAAAAAGTGTTTAGCGTGCAGTTTTTTTTATGCATCTCTTCCGGTAGGGGCGAAGCCCTGCCCAGGTTCTTCCTTTAGTTTGTATAATCTACAAATGCGACCAGTGTTTCTTTCAGACTTTTTCCTCCCCGGAGAGGGGTGGGGGGTACTTGAAATTTTCGGGGGCAGGGATAGAATTTTCAGGGAGGGGGCGGACACTGGAAAAAGTATATAATTATATTTCGTTGAGTGGGATGGTAGACATGTTTTGGGGTGTGTGTGTGGGGGGGGGGGGGGGTTAGTTTAGAGCAAATAGACAGCACTATCAACATAGCGCCCGTTGTATCCTTCCTCAACGGGCCATTTTTCTCGTAATCTCGTTTATTTAATAAAAACAAAACGTAGTAGCGAGACTCACTAACTTAAAAGCGTCCTTGGTTGCTAACCAGAACATGGCTACCACACCTTGGCCTACGATTGGGCAATTTTTTCTGCTTTGTTCGAGAGACCACCTTAACATTAACTTTAAAAATAATTATCACGCGAAAAATGGCGTTTTTTTCGCGTATTTTAAGCAATCTAATGATGACAAAGCTATTTTTGGCAGATTTTTTTTTTTTTTTTTTTGCTTCCGACATTGAAAGGTCAAACGTAAACATGGGTACAGTTTGAGTAGCTCAAAAACTTTAAATAATGGTCTCTAAGGTGTCAAAACTGCATGCCTAGGTCGAGTATTATTAGATTGATCGTTTAGTGAAAAAAAATTGTAAATATTATGTTCGCCTTTTAAGAAATCGGCATCGCAAAAAGGTCACTGAAAGCACGTTATTTTTTATTGTGACGTCATCGCTATTGTTACGGAAGCTGTACAGTAGTATCCTCTCGCTGCTTATATAATTGTGTTTTCTTTTCACTTGACACTCTTTTTCAGCTTATTTTGCTAGCGTAATTAGACTAATTAAGCCTAATTATGGATTTTCACCTGACTTTTGGATTATACTATGACTCTAAAAACCCTTAAACCACAACGATCTGTTATTTTTTTTTTTTTTTGTTGATCCCTGGAATTAGATCTAGATCTAGTAGTGAGCGTTGGTCTTTGTGTGCTTACTTAGGCTAATGACTTAGGCCTAATTATTTGTTTTCAAATTTGTTATAGCTTAATTCTTATTGATTTCATAAATTTTAATTAGGCTAATTATAATATTATTTTCACTGGTCTTCGTTGCCTCATTATTTGTTTTCAAATTTGTTATAGCTTAATTAATTTGTCTTAATTCTTATTGATTTCATAAATTTTAATTAGGCTAATTATAATAT